CTGGAGTAGTTCGGTCGCGGTTGATCGTTTTTCCACGTCTACTTCGAGACAGCGATCGAGAAAATCGAGGAATACCAAAGACAAGCGGTCGCGTTCTTTTATTTCCGGCTTTCCGTTTGTAGCAATCAGATAGAGAGCCTGTTCATCGAACACAGAGAAACAAAGATTAGGAAACTGATTAACCCCGTTTTGATTCATTTGGCCACGATGAGTTGACCTACTCGAGGGGGTATCATCTGAACGGGTACACATAGTAAGTGATATTAATTTTCCAGAGCTCAAATGTACAACAGCTGAGGTGTCAGTGAACAGCAAAAGAGCGCACCTTAGATTTCAAATCATCATCACTACATACAGAAAGCAAATTAGGGCCAGACGAGGTATTTTTGAATGTTCTAACCGGTGAGCCGTGTTGACTGGGGAGTGCTTGTTGTGCGACCGAGTTTCGGACAGGTCAAACATTGAAAAGTTCCGAACACTTACACGAAGCGGATTCTCGTTCAGGTAGGGTGGTTCTCCATCCACCATCTCAATCGCCATGATTCCCAGGGACCAGATATCCACTTTCGGACCGTACTGTTTGCGTGAGACCACCTCCGGAGCCATCCAGTAAGGAGTTCCGACCATTGTGGAGCGTTTTGTTTTGTCGTGACTGAGCTGAGCGCAGAATCCGAAATCAGTCAACTTGACTGAGCCGTCCATGCCAAGCAAAATATTGTCTGATTTAATATCGCGATGAATGACGCGATTCGCGTGAAGGAATTCAAGCGCATGAAGGATCTGAAACATCCAAATGTTAAAAATATTTTCTTATGAGATTAGGGAGGGGGGGGGGTGGACGAGTTGGTCAGCAAACGCTAGAACCGCCTAACCAGTCTCAATCTGTTCACTATCAACCTAGAGGACAGTTTGTGTGAGATGCTTGAAATTTCCAATTTTTGAAAATACCCTCTGTAGTACTACAACAACTATAAGAAACAAAACCGCTACCACGAAGCGAGAAACCAATCAATGTGATTTTCGAATTCATTCATTTTTACGACTGAGACACCATGAGAATGGCTATTTTGTAAAGAATAAATAAACATATATGTACGAGGGAAATTCGAAATTGTGGCGTATTGCAATGTAAACAAAAATATCGCTATCGCATGAGAACTGTATTCGTTTGTGAGGTTTGAACCAAAAATCTGTTTATTTCAATCAATCAAATGGAACATGTGCGTTCTGGAAAGAATTTAATCTGTGCAACGGCCCACCCCTCACATTCCTCTCTTCGTATGACTTTAGTCCGATCAAAGACTGAACACTCACCTCACGACAAATGGCCGAGATGTGACCTTCTTCCATGCATGTCTCGGTGACCACATCTGTCAGTGAACCACCGTCTAGGTACTCCATCACAACCCATAGCTCTTCACCACCACTGGTCGGTACCGGACCCGCATCGTTTCCAGATGGAGACTGAACTGCGGTCGGCACA